GACGCGGGACTGCGCCCAGCCGAGGATGGAGGGGGCAGGGGGCTTTCGGGGACAGGCCTGCAGTCTCCAGACTCCACACCCCTCCATCCCCGACAGATCGCCAGGAAAGATGCCCGGGAACCCAGGCCCGTACTCCCGGATCTCGGGTTAGATCGCCAAGAGCAAGCAAGCGCGAGGCGCGCGCCCTCCTGGGTGCAGACCCGCGTGCGTAGCCATCTCCCGCCTAAGGGGCGGGGGAGCACCCAGCAACTCTAACCCCATCCTCCCCCCAGGTTGTGCTAAGGCGCGGTTCAAGCCGTTGGAGAGGATGGAGAGAGGCCACGCCCCTATTCACGTCACTGTTTCCAAGGCAATCGGAGGTGGGGCTGGAGACGAGCGGACTTTGGGGACTTCAGGCAGCTTGGGGCTCCGGGACAGGGTGCGGCTGGGCTGGGGGCGCGGCGGGGTGGGGCGTTTCTGTCTTTGCTTTTCTTGACTCGCTTGGTGTTCGAGAAAACGAGTGAGGGACAACTTGTGTTTGATTCTTGATTCAACAAACTTTTATGCTTGTTGCAATTCTTAGGGACTGACTGCCTTGCTTTTTCCAAGCCTGCGGTTCACAGGTTGTCACGAATGCGGATGGAGAGGCCTTGAACAAGGATATGATTCTGGAAGAGATGTAACCTTTCTTTTCTTTTCCTTTCTTCTTTTTTTTTTTTTTTCTTTTTCATTTATTGTGGGGGTGGGGCTCTCGAGAAACCGCGTGCACACGGAGATCTGAGGGCAGTCAACTTGTGGGAGTCAGTTCTCGCTTTACACCTTGTGGTCAGGCTTGGCAGCGCCTTATCCACTGAGCCATCTACGTAATTATTCAGTGTCGCTCTTCTCCGGTAATAAACACTAATCAGGGAAGACAGTCTGTAATTCATGGAAGGCCCCAGCCATTCAGGGAAGAAAGACGAACTGTTGTGTGTTCACCACGTACCAGCTCAGTCCCAGCACTTCAAGTCTTTGTGACCTTTGCCCCTTGTATTTCTAGCGCCCTTGACAGATGAAGGAACTGAGTTTGAGCGGTTCGCTAAGCTAATTAGCCCAATAGCTAAGTGTTGGAATCAGGACGGGACCTAAACCTGTGGGTCTGAGTACCCTGTCTTGTTTCCTTCTAAGTCTGAGTAAATGTATGAAAGGACAAGTCTCTGTCAGGAGGGAGTTTATAACCTACAGGGAAATGGGGTGAAGATACTTCACAACATAATTAAGCAATAAAACCTAGAAAAGGTTGGTGACTGCTCAAAAGGATCAAAATAGGGTTGGGAATATCTGAGCCTTTGCTATGGAAGGTGCATTTCCTGGTGGCTCAGGAGTTGGCTCTAAATCTAGGACGCTAAACCAGGAATTCGGAGCTAGCTAGAACTTTTTTATTTTTTTAAAGACAGGAGCTCTAGCTCGGCTAACCTGAAACTCTATTTAGCCAAGGATAACCTTAAATGTCTGATCCTGCTTCTACCTCCCAAATGCTGGGGTTATGGGTATATGCCACACCTTGCTGGGGATGGAGGGACCCACGGCC